TTGTATTGCCTTTAAAATTCTAAACGTAAAAGAGAATCAGGTGATATTTTGTTTAAAAATAATAGGAGTCGATAAAACAAAAGTTTACTGTTGGAATGGTGAAAGTAAATAGTATACATATGAGTACTTATGTTAGATGGTTCGATATTGAAGTCAGCATAATTTATTCTTTCGTCGTCGGAGTAAGATTTTCCGCTTTATTCGAGCAGCAGTACGAGCGGCGGGAGGCAAATTGGATGGGATTGCGACATATCTTGGCTGGCGGCGGCGAACTGTCGAAATGCACGGGGGAACACAGAGGGTAAACTGCTCGCATTCCGCCTAGAGTGCTCTTTTGCATCGGAAAAGATGTGAACCTATTTAAAGTTGAAACGTACACTTTAGTGAAAACAGAACTATTCAACTGAGTAATTCTGCTTTTGAAAAAGAGCAAATGACAGTCGTCTTCTATCATTTTATTGGATATATAGGGGAGAGTGGGGGAATTGAGAACGGCGGGTAATTGGGAACAGCTAGGTAAATAATACTTCCCCCCACTTTACACCGTCCCGCGCTTATTCAACAGACGCATCCAGCGCCCCTAAGTGTACATAGTAAGAGTGAAAGGCCACATGTACCCTGTCACGGTAAGTCGAACAATGTTTTTTGCATTTCTTTTATAATTTTTGTCGTGTCTTATAATAGGTGTAACTATCATATTTTTGAATTCAAAGGCACCATATTTTGTTATTATCATGCATGTACTATCTGCTTCCAAACCCTACGTGATTGAAGGTTATCAAAAATACTATTGAGGATGGCGGCCATTTTGATATATATTGACTACTTTGGGCAATTGGGAATGGCATCAGGCGGGTAATAACGTTTTCAATGACCTCTCGCGTTCTCAGTTTACCCCTAGTGCTGCTGGTTAATTATGTAAAAATGTTTTAACTTTAAAAATTGTTTTAGATGTCTCGAAACTATATACGAAAGATTGAATCGAAATACAAAATTGAAGATCTTCGCCATGCAGTTGAAGATGTTAGAAATAAGAAGCTCACATTAGGCCAAGCTGCTACCAAATATTCAATACCAAAATCAACATTATTCAAACAATTAAAACAAAACAAAGTCAAGACACTAAAAAAAGGTCGATCTGCTGTATTTAATAGAGAACAAGAAGACCAGCTAGAAAAATATATAATAAGACTTTTTATGGAATAACACCAAGTTCATTACGTAGAATTGCTTTTCGATTTGCTGAAGCTAATAAGCTGAAACACAATTTTAACAAAGAAACCCAGCTGGCAGGGAAAGACTGGTACTATGGCTTCATATCTCGACATCCTTCCATCAGTTTACGGATACCAGAAGCTACTTCACTTAATAGAATAACGGCTTTTAACGTCACCGAAGTGAATCTGTTTTTTGATCAACTAAAAATTATCCAAACAAAACACAATGTAATGTAAAATGTAAACTGTGCCTCTTGCCGAAATCATTAATGTGCCTATCATTCCTAAAACAAGAACCACTTCTGTGCAACAGAATAAGAGACATTCTCAAATTTTATCCAGCTCACCGATAAAAATTGAACTTGAGGGAAAGCAGAAAAAACAAAATGAGAGAAAAGCCAAAAAAGAAAAAGTTCCGAATAAAACACTAAAAAAGAACATTAAGACCATAAAAAAAAATCCAAGACAATCCAATCCAAAAATCAAGGGTAAAGGAGGGAAAAATTTAAAAAAGGAAAATAAGTTAGAAGAAGAGTTTTATTGTATAATGTGCAACGAAAAATATGAATCTCCGCCGACAGAGGATTGGATTATGTGCGTCATCTGTAAACTCTGGGCACATGAAAAATGTACTGCTGGCGAGACTAGTCTAGGGTACGTGTGTGATATGTGCCAACCAAAAAAACTATAGTTTATTATAAAGATTTAATTGTGTCGTTTCTAATTACCCCATACCTTTCCCATTTACCCCTCGGGATGATCTCAAATAGGGTATCGGGTAAAAAGAAACGACAACGTTTTTTGTTTTCGTTAAAATTTCTAATGAAACGTTGATTCTTGAGAGTTTTTCTGTAACTGATAAGTAGATAGATAAGTAAAGTTTATATTCTAATAAAAGTTGCTATATCTAAGACTTTTTTCTATTATTTTTGGACGTTGGAAGTTAAGTGTTCCCAATTCCCCCACTTTCCCCTACATAATTAAAAAACGATTAACAATAATTATATATATATATATACATACTAATAACTATTAATATACCTTAATATACGTGTTACTAATATTTAATAATATAGTATAAAAATATATACGTAAATAATAACGTTCAGGGGTTTAAATTATAACGAGATGACATTGAGTTAAAAATATAAATGTTGGAGGTTGTGGAATGGCGGACGGCGGCGGTACGTTAACCAAATAAAGCTTTCATGTGGGGCAATATTGAGCTTTAAGCCCGTCGCCACGTCAGGCCATCACCGCTCCGGACGGACCGACTCGTTTAATAATTTCACAACGAGAATTGCCGTGATAATCTTTCACAAATTTCTACGCAAATATTTTTTTCGCAGTGTGGCATTTTATACGTAACATTATTTCGTAAGGATAATTGATTAGAGAAAATAATTATGTTTGGTAATATCATTGTATTTTGTAGTTTATTATTTTTTTTATGATTACAGTAATTTTCATAACACCAACTGTGTCGTTATAAAAACATAACAAAGCGCCTAAAGTCCACTAAATCATTAAGGGAATTCCACAGTGTAAGCTTTAGATTTGTTTAAATAAAAGATTGGATAACTTTTGTTCGTCGTTGTTCAATAGCGGTTAATGGTTTGGTAAACTGTGGAAGATAAGTAAACAAAGTGAGCATTTCATGCGTGTTGGTTTAACAGCCAGCTCGGAGATGAGGCGAAGCGCGTTGACAAGCCGAGTGGCAGTTTGCATACGTTTTATGCGAGAAAGCGGAGCCCGGAAGACACAAGCTGATGGCTTACGGATTTAGATTCGCTGCATTTAGATGTGTGAGATCACCGAGCGCATTAACGTTTAATGCAAGACGAACAAACAAGTTTTCAGTTTTTTATTTTACTATTCTAATGGTGACTGAAATGTACATAATAATCTTTAGTAATATTATAAAAGTGAAATTGTTTGTTTCTTATCTCTTTATGCTTTAAGGCTCAAAGAATCGTCATGAAGTTTGAAATACGTACAAAGCTGGCTTTACGTATTTAATATATATTTGACGAAGAACATAGGTTAGTTTTAATCTCGTTTAATGTATATATCTCCGTCACGGACGATGTCACGGGTAAAAGTTAGTATAATAATATATTACGTAGTGTAACCCTTATTGAGAGCATTGCCAATTGCTACTGTTGTGACGAATCTCGAATTGCCTAAATTTCTATTTCTAATTTGTTTTTATATACATTCAAAAGAATATCAAACTAAACATATTTATGACGTCATACAGTGATTAATAAAGGCCATAAATACGAGTTTATTAAGGTTATAAGATCCTTGATAACGGTTTGAACGATCTATTAAAATTACGGGTCCAGTTTATAATATACTCGCAAATACCTGTAATTTAGTTTTTTTTTGTAAGGGTATTTAAACTCGCGTGAGATTATTTCTTATTTCTCAACCTCCACATCATTTTCATCATTTTTTTAGTTTAATAGGACTCGTATAACATGAGATATCAGGTGTACTTGAAATTGAGTTAAACTGTATAATATTTAATACGTATTAAAATGATATTAAACAAGTACATTTATCTGTGTAGAAAAAAATATGTAAATGTATATCGATGAACAACGAAAAGTTTTGGAGATATATACTAAATTGTAGCTAGACGATATCTGTACAAGGAAGATATTTAAGAAAAAATATATGAGGGGTCTTAATAAGAACAATCGAAGCCAAAACAACAATTTTTAGAAATTTTGTCTGCCTGTCTGGATGTTTGCCGGCATCACGCAAAAACGACTGCTCCAAATTGGATGCAGTTTACAGTCGTGTTCCTAAAGGTCTTAATTTAAATCTGGTACATGCTTTGTTTTAATACGCCAAGTGGTTAAATTTAATTGGTTTACCTACTTTACCTACTACCTAAATCTCTGCGTACGAATTAGCAGGCGAGACGCTTGTTAAAAATATTTGAATATAGTACACGGAATCGCATTTTCATAATTAGGTTTGTCTTCGCAACAAGTAGTTTTTTGAAGCTATAATCATCACAAAATGGTAGTAAACTTTATCGACCGTAAAAAGAATTTATAAAACCGTTTTCAACTTGACTAAGTAATCGTATAACAATAGGCACAGAGAAAGAAAATATATTTGAATTGAGAACCTCCTTTTTTTGGAAGTTGCATTAGAAATCCAATGAAATATTATGAACTAGCGGTCCGTCCCGGCTTCGCACGTGTAGACATTTTTATATTTTAAAAACTGGCCAATAAGGCTGCACACGTGACGGAAGCTTAAAAATATAGTAATTTCTCCCGTTTTCCCAACATTTCCCTTCACTGCTCTGCTCCTATTGATCGTAGCGTGATGAAAAGTATACTATAACTTGCCCAGGAGTATGAAGAATAATTGCCTCAAGTTTCGTTAAAATCCATCGATTTGTTTTTGTTTCTATAACGAACATACAGACAGACAGACAAAAATTTTACTGATTGCATTTTTGGCATCAGTATCGATTACTAATCACCCCCTGATAGTTATTTTGGAAATATATTTCATGTACAGAATTTACCTCTCTACAGATTTATTACAAGTATAGATACGACGTACCACCGAACATAAGTATTGTAATATGGATTTTGATATATCTCTAGTTTTTTTCACCAAGAGGACGTAACAGATTAGAAAATTCCACATCTTCAGTGATTTCCTGATATCCCAAAGTATGGGACGAGATTTTCAGTATTCAGTTTTACCTGCGACATATAGTTAGATAAAACAACATTCAAAGAGTCGACTTACATGAGAGTTGACATTGTTGGGCGGGTGGTTGCGCGGTGTGTCAGTCGCTAACGCTGCCAAAGGCAGCCGCGGCTTTGTTGACAGCGCATTAGTGCGTGGCGAAGAAGCACATTTTACAGCAGCCTGTTAACAAATGATCCGATTAATATTTACAATTTAAGGTTTTATTACAAAAGTGTATATGACTTTAATTTTAACAAAGTTAGTATGTAACCAAAGATTAAAAAATTCTCCAAATCAAACATATTATCGATAACATATAGATTTTTTAGACTGGTATTTTAATAGGCGACGATAGGTATCGCGCAAAATATACACAAAAGAAAAAAAGTCGAATTCAAAACTTTTCTTTTTGGATTCAGTAACAAGTATACTGTTTTGCCTGATACCGTAGAAATTCACTATTTACAAATACGTACACAGTCACTTTACGACTCTGTAAACCTCAACTCAGAAACTGTCTTCTTTACTAACATGATAATTTAAGCAAATGAACTGCAAGTTCCTCTAGGCTTGACTCATTTACTAACTTAGTTGGATTCCTCGCCTGTGGCGCAGTGTACGAATTTTCAAGTCTAACTTAGTGATATTATGGGCTCACTTAATCATACTTAGTCTCGTCCGTTTGGCTGACTATGCATGAAGGCGAGACGCGAGAACATTTTAAGTACCTAACTAGCTTCTCGTTTAGAAGGAACTTTGCATGTTACGAAGCTGTAAAGAACTTGTAAACCTTGCTGTCTCGTCGGCAGTAGGTACACAGTGAACGCAAGATTACCTCTGTTAAACTTAGAAAATATAAGACATTTTATATTACAATTTTTATTAAGGAATTTCATAGTAGTTCTCGGAACATTTGACTCTGATAAAAATCTGTCACTTTACAAAAACACTACTAAAACTGGTTTCCGTACTGAAGAGATCATAAGTACAAGTAGTTAAAATAAAGACATAATTCTCAATTATTATTTTAGAAATTTGTTCATAGAGAAATATTTTTTAGGACGCGTACTCAAAACGACCTTAAGTAAAGCTCTTTTTAGATATCATTTTAGATTAAATACTTTATTCAATACTATATATTATTTTATCTATAGTTGCAATAGACACTTTACATTGCCTTTGTGATAGTACAATTTTGAAAATCAATATATATGTATATATAAAGTATTTCTGGTAACTCTTTTCACCAAAATGCTACACTTTCCGGTACCATAATATTAATATACGATATAAAATATCATTCATCATCTTTTTAAGTACATTAAATGCATTGTAAAAAAATTAATTTCATTGTAAAATTCATTTAATTTTAATTTATTGACACATCTTGATACGTTAGTAATGAGGTACCAATGTAATTTAGATCTATTTATTTAGCTTCGTTTATTTTCGTATATTTATCAGTCTATCCGTTCATATAATCATCATCATCAGTGACAGACGTGGGGGGCTGATTTGATGATGAGCCGATAGGTTACACCACTGAAGAGTTAGTCGGAAAATTTTTCGGTGTCAGCATAAGAATAAGAACTAGGTAGTTCTTATTTTTTATTATCCTAGAAGTGGCGTTACTGCCACTTTAATAACAATACAGTATTCGTCACTCTGCTCGTCCTTATGGACTGAATTATTCACTCGCCATTCAGAGAACATGTGTAATCGTACGCTACTAGATGATGCTTTATGGTTTTTTATTTCATTTTATCAAATTAAAAATGTAAGAGATTTCGCAAAATTGTATTAACTATTTTTTTATGAGAATAATATAAATGTAATTATTTTTTATTTGATTTATTTCACTATTGAGTAGATTATACAACACGTTATTAAAATTTATCTTTGTCGTATATAAATTGTTAAATTTTATGTATTGTTTTTACCTTCATTTGTAGAGGGTCGCACTACTTTACACTTGTACTAAACTATACAAAAAAATACTAAAATTTATACTTTACACTATACAAGGTTTACGCCACACATGAATCAAGTATGACAAAAACTATTTATTAAATGAGTATAAATTAATGACAACTTTATTCGAGTGGAAGGAGGTGAGGTATATCTTGTCGGCATCTATGCATTAACAGAGTACATGAGTGTCACTTCTAACCAGATTATTTACTCTTATGGAGTCGGTTAGATTAAAAAATTTATAATAATAAAAATATTTATATAAGTGAGAATACTTGTATGTACTCTTCCACAGGTTTGTTTTTATTATATAGAATTTTTTGATCTGACCTATATATTACAACACATGTTGATAGGTACAAATTAATCACAAGCATTTTTTACAACACAGGCATAAACATATTTATATATAATATTAGTATCAAACAGTGTTCGTTCTGTTTGTCGAATTCCACCCTGCGTAAATGTTTCATCCGCATGTGAGCGCATAAATGCCTAAAGTTAAACTATGATCGACTTTAAGAGATGGAGATTTTGTTACATCATTTTCTGTGCACAATGAAGAGTATTATTAATATTCAATGGTACTTCCTTTAATATCTTCTAGAATATAAATTGTATAGAAATATTTATAAACCATAAATGATACACACAGATATATTTTTTAATACAGAAATATTCTACGTGTAAGAAAAGATGGAAGAATGTGGAAGAAGTGAAAGAGGTTTGTTTGAATCGAAACATTTGGCGTTCCATTGTTTCTGCCTACCCTAATGAGAGGCAGGCGTGACTATCTATGTATCTATGTATGTAGAAATATTCTACACTAAAATAGTACATTGAGTCTATGCCATTCGTTAATTTTATTCAAGAGTACAATCTCCGAATAATAAATACAATCTTATTGTTTACCGATAGATTAAATAAAAGTTTATATTGTTTTGAATTACCAATGAGTGTTTACGCATAAATTGGTTCAATTGAAGCAGGACTTTCTTCTGTATGTTCCGACAAAGACGCTTCCTTGAACGCGATACGTGTTTGCGACTTTGGTACTTTAACATAATTAATTCTCCGCTCTAGAGTTTCATTTAAACGTCTTACTGACTCGTGCGACACATAATAACGAGGGATTCTACGTGACGACACAGCATTGTGTAATTATGAATGAAGAGGGGTTTTTACCCTCATCAAATAAGCGTTATATATGTTTTAATAACATTGAAAATAAGTAACCAGTTTAAACTCTCTTGTAACAAGAAAATAAAGTTATTACTGCAGTTGTCGACAGCATAGTTAAAAGTATGTTAAATATATTATTAATATTATATATAATATATTAATAATTTTATTACTAATTATATAATTAAAATATTTCCAAAATATATTATGAATTAGATAAGTATAAAAAATTTTCAAAAACCAGGAATATCCTCTTAATTAGAGTAAAATATTATAACAGTATGAATGTCGATTAATCACTTTGTACGTTCGTTATGTAAGTCAATGATAATAGTAATAGATATTTAAATAAACTTTCCATTGATGCATTACTTATTACTGCTTTATAGAAACAGTTATATCGCATGAACAGAAAAAAGTTTGAATATATTGGTATTTGAGTGATGAATAACATTTGGTCACTGACAAAATTAGTGCAAACAAGGGTTCTACTGACACACATTTGGATGAATAAAAAAAATGTCCAACGTCCATCAGTTCGGACGGCGTGGGGCGCCGGGAACACAAAGGGATGGGCGAGAGCGGGGGGCCATTACCATAACCATTATGCGATATTCACCGCCACCGACACGACAACTGAACTAAACGACAGATGCCGGCGCTTGTAAGATCGCGTAATAAAAACTGATTCCAGCACCTCTGACTAATTTTCACGTTAAATGGGACATTTCAAGATGTCGTAAAGTTTTTATATCTTTCCATGTAATTAAACTTTCCGTGTTTATTAAATAATAAATTAACAACTTTAGTTTACATTGGATCGTGCTAATATTATTAATAGGAATAAAATCATAGTGACGTTTAAAATATATATTCCGTATAAAATTTGCACAATGGGCACAACAGTTAACAACATCTGCTTCCAAAGAGACAAAAGAGTATATCGAAAGGTATAAGCGTAACCCTTCACCCCTTGTTAATAAAACGTGAGGGTGTGGTGGACTGGTGCGAGCATCGGTATTAAATTTGGGGTACACTGGTGTATAACACGGAAACTATTAGTTATCATCGGATGTGAAGTGGCTCGTGCGTGCGTGCGTACCCCGAGTAGCACGTGCTGACGCGACCACGGTCATATACGAATAGATAATAAATAAACTACGCACGGCGTTTCGCATCTTGGAGGCGTTAATTTACACGGTTTGTAAATATTTAAATTGAATATTTTTAATTAATATATGTAAAAGTAATAAACAAGTATGTTAGTGTAAGTATTGTTTAGTTTTATTATTTGTAATTTAAATTATTATTGGATACTACATAGAAGTTATGTAAAATTTATTCAACAATGCATCGTAAATATTTATGAATCTTTATTTTATGATATACAATGGTCCTATTTTTAAAACAAAAAATAATATGTACTTAGTACATATACACGTATATAAAACTTTTGCTTTGTGAATACAATTAATGGAAAGGCAAATCTTTGGTCGTATTTACAAAATAATTCAGCGGTGTTTTTACAACAATTATTTATTTTAAATTAATAAAGTGAAATCAAAATTTCTATCAGTAATTTCTTGGAAATTCAAAGAAAAATTTAATCCGCATCTTCCCAGAAATTGGACCCATTATTGTTGCTGCCTGTGGCGGGATAGCGGTTAGTGCGGGAAAGGCAAATTACATTTAGACGAAATCGTAAAGTTAATAAACATTAAGTATTTAAAATTTATATGCAGGCATATGAAATAAAACAGTTATTATTTATATATAAGCTTTCAACTTATTCTGTTGAGGTTTAGATATAACGGAAAATGAATAATAATATTCTGTTAGTATTTTTACCGACAATGTTATAAGTATGTATTCATTGTGTCTTGAGATCCACTGATAAATGTTTATGTCTAATAAACATCGTTCATAACAATTAGGACTAACAGCTTAAGCCGAGGTACAAGCGGTCTTGATAATAGAACAATACATAATTACGAATAAATATGTATGTAAATATAATATGTTAAAAAGTAAAATAAAATTTAGCCAGTTTCGATAATAATTACTGTACTCTATAACAAATTTAAAATGGGCCAAATGCCGCGCACTTAAGATTTTTTTACATTACAAATTTTTACCCATGATAATAAATGTACACGTTTACTATCGCTACGGTTACTTTTAGTTATTTAGTCGTTGAAATCGTACCGCCAGGTAAATCAAAATTAAGAAATCGTGATTTGGGACGGCTAATTAAGATGCCGACGTAATAACGTCACACGCACACGTTTACAGGTAGCCGGCGTTAATTAGCATCGGTCAATAACTGAAAGTGCCTTGAGCCAGTAGTCGCTAACTTACGGTACCTTTACTTCTCGACAGACCGCCGCGCGGGCAGCCTACTGTCAATGCTCATTTACTATAATTGCTTCACTTACAATGAATTAATCACTAATGTGACAGCATGAACACAGGCATTATGAATAATAAGTAAAGCGCCGATACAGTAATTTGTTATATTGACAAACCATTAGTTATGAGAACAACGTAACACTTTTACAACAACTTTTTTGTAAACATAATTACCTATCTAGGTATCGATATATTTCTGTCACGATTGAAATCGGTTTTTATAATAAGCTGAAATTAAATTATTTGTTAGTACTGTATGGTTAGACCTTTTTTTTATTTATATTAAAAATAAGCATACCATTGTAATTATTGATAAAGTTGTTAAAATGCGTTCTACAGTCTACATAAATATCAATACCAATTGCGAAGAAGAGCGAGATTTAGATTAAAATTCGTAGACTGTTAGATTTTCTAGAGTCGATATAGACGGATTGGAGACTAGATTTGAATCAGGAACTTAGCACAAATAGCCGAAAAAACTACATATGTTACTTGAATTCGCGTAGCACTCACAATGATCTGTCTCATTAAGCGAAAAAGTGATTTTCAAAACATTGGGGTCTTTTCTAAAACTATTCTGTAATTTTTCCCTTACAACCTGATATTTGTTTCAAATATGAATGTACCATTAAACTAAAATAAAGACTCTTTTTGATATTTTTAAATTGGTTAACTAAAAATAGAATACATATACCAAAAACTGCACACAACAGGCATGACATACGTACAGTGCGCCGTTATTGTTGATGTGGCCTGTTTGTAAGACTCGAGATAATAGTAATTGTTGTGGACACGCTCAATTACCCTCGACAAGCGGCGGTCGCAAACACAATTTACCGGTACGTTTCTATTATTTAATCAATGCAAATAAAAAATAATAGAGTGGTAGCATTTGTTTTAATTACTAATAGCCTCGCTCACCCCTTTAATTATGACGTTTTAAATAATTACCAGTTACGGTGGTCAGGTGTGCTTAAAGACTAATTTTAATTCACACGCGAATATTTTATTTTATATTTTCAATAACTTGCTGGGATAAATAGGGCGATACTATATATGAATCTAACGAATTGTGCTAGTTCTAGTAAAACTCATTAGGGGTTCTAGATTAAATTTAAAGTAGCGAACAATTAATAAATAATTGAATACCAGTCACGCAGTATTTAAGCTTGATCAATGACAGGTAAGATTTCATAAGCCCATAACAAATTAATCACGCAGATTTTTAAGAGTCAAAGAATGTTACAAGTAGTTACAGTAATTTCTTTAATTAAACAATCTGTATTTGTGTAGGTCCGGGTATTTTAATGCTCTATATCATTTACTTTAATCGCTTGAATCTTTGCACTAAGTTGGTTGGGACCCAATTGCATTTTGTTTTTAATCTGAAAGCCTACAGCGAGGCAGGCGTGAACTTCAATTTGCCTGAGCCATTTAATTAACAGCGACACGGCAGGTCATTAATTAAGTCATCAGACAAGCCCACACCGGTTAGTGAGCCCAGGATTAGTACACTGAAGTGCATGTTTAATGGAAGATTATGCTACAAACTCTCCCCAGTAGAGGTAGGAGCAATTAATTGCCTAGGGTTATAGTCTGTTGATAGATGATAAGAGTGTATGTGTCAGTATACATACAAATTCAAATTAAAAGTACAAGTGTAAGATACGACTTATTTACAAACGGTAAACATTCATGTAATTGTGTCATTTACTTCCGTAAAATGACAGCTGACTTGTTTAAACACGTATAAGTAACTAAGCGATAAGCTGCTAATTGTAGGTACTTAACAATAGAAAAGCTACATAGATAAAACGATACATGTAGGAGAAAAATAAAAATCATTTCTGAATGTTACTAACGAAATTTTACTTACATCCGTTCAGTACTTGGTTATTATAATACAATTACTTATGTAAACATTTTTATAATAGTTGGTACTTCAAATTCATATACGGAATTATGGAAACAATTGAATATAATAGGTACTCAGAAGGTCAATAGGCACTTTTAATAACAAATATTAATTTACTATGTAATAACTATTTATATTGTCATGAGTTTGATTGAAATTAAAAATAATAATGTACCTATACCAAATTAATAATGCTTTAATAAAAAGATTGTTGTTTTTGAGATCGTTATAATAAAAAAACAACAAACTACTTTTCGAGTAACACAATAATAAAAGAAAGAAAATACACGCAATGCAGCTAAGATACAAAATATAAACATAATTTCACTTCCCGTTTCTAAAATAGAAATTGGTTAATTCTACTGTTCAAATAAAGTAGGTACGCTTTTATTTTAACAGTAGAGAATTTTATGTTACAGTATCATATTTATATACTAATATTTAGTTCAAAAGAATTATGAGGCAGATTTATAGAAAAGAGAAGACTTTTACAGATTTTTTAATTTTTGCTTTTTTGCGTTTGATTCTAACAGAAGCGTTTCCTTACAAAACCACATTACATTCCGGATACACATGCTATTCAAAAACAATCATTGGATAATACTCGAAGGGTGTTTTTTCTTTTTAACAAAAAATATTGAACTAAAAACACAATCATTTTTGAATAACTGGAAGGTTCAAAGAAACAGAACAAAAACTGTCAATAAAAGAACTTTTTCTGTAGGTTGGATGAATATGCAGGTAAAGTAAAAGAATCTGTTATAACAATGATACGATAATAATAAATTAAAGCCAGCAAGCAATATAAGTATAAAATAGATATATAACTATTACAAAATTACAATTAGGGCGAGAATGTCTGTATCGTATAATCGTTGGTAATGAAAAAAAATATGAAATGAAAAAAATATGAAGCGTAAAAAATATTTTTGTTACATTTCTGTTTAGTATTTTTAGTAGTGTTCTACAGAGATGAATCACTGTAAAACTACACTCGTACTAAGAGTAAAAGTGATCAATACAAAGATAAACTCTCTTAGTTCAAATACGACTGAAATAAGCCACGGGAAATAAATACTATTAAGCTTTCTAATGACAAATCGCAATGTAATAGTGATAGGGGGGGAAAATAGTAGAGCGTGAAAACAAATACCTATGAGGTACGTAATCGAAATGTTTGTAAACGTCTGTCGGGCTCTCGTCGCGTGTCGGGGACCGATTACCTGCCATGGCGGTGCGCGGTGCCACCCCCTCGCCGAGCTCGTGAACAACACTGTTTTCATACACGTCGATATCACTGTCAGTTTAGTTTAAGGGCTATTTTAATAGATTCCGTTTTTATAGCTATTGTCTATATAGCATCTATATTAATTTACTACCATCGAATTTATTGTTAATAATAGAGTACAAAAGTGGTCGAGGGCAGAACCGACATGGATTATTACGAACATTTTATGTTTTAAATTGATCGTTGATATCTCTTATTATTTATACAGAGAGAAGTTGTTTTAGACGTTTGTGTGAGTATAGAGATTTAGACAAATATAATATTTATCAAATATACCATATATATATATATATATATATATATATATATATATATGTAATTTACCCTATTATATTAAATTTCAATAATTTTATTTTTTTGAACCACCATCAAGTATCTTTACACATCCTAAAGGTTGATTGGTAGAGAATTCCTATAGTGTTAAGTCTACCTTTTGTACCACATTTTATTGGTCAATATTTTCTATAAATAAATAAATACGAGTAAGTAACAAATAAAAACTGAGAAATATTATATGCGTTAAATGTTAATTAATAAATGCGACCAAAGCCGATTATAGATAATAGGGAATAGAGTATGTTAAGAAAAAATACAGAATCATTATCGGTATCTGATGTTATATTACTAGAAAACAAATTGAGCTATCAATATAATAGAATAGTCAATAAAAAATATACATAGTTATATTATTTTATGAAATCACTAACAAATTTTTTTAATAAAAGAATCAAATATTTTAGCGATCCTTATTTATATTCATATAAAATCTTTATAAGTGAGAAAACACTTTCACATTGTATATGTTTTTTTTCCCTTATAAAGTTTAAAGTAACTACAAAAAACAGATTTTTTTATTTTATTTGTTTGATTAAGCTTTAGGTATTAACAGTTTATGTTGTTGAAATTGATAGAGAATTTGTTTTAGTACGTAATAAGAATTCATTTTATAAAATGTACAACACGTTCTTATAAATAAAACCAGTTGTATAAAATAAGTAGGTACTAAGTTATAAAGTTTACATTGTTTTGGATACTACTGAGAATAACGCAACTTCCTAAAGCTTCCATCATTCAACCGGAGTTTCCGTTCTATTTGTGTTGTCAACTGAAAAATCAAACGATGGGTGACTATGGTTGCGGTCGCATCGAATCGTACCTACTAACTCCACCGTCAATATTTATTCTGCTTCGACGTGTGTTCAACGATAATAGACTAATATGTTTCAATGTTTATATTATGTCATGCAATAAACGCTCACACTCGCTAATATTCTACTTCACGGTGAATATATCGATAATATCATAATGAAAAATTGCATCATCGTTGGCGATACGTTTTATAAATCATCATAATATTACAAGACCACTCAATAAATCTTCACATCGGAGACTAATTGAAGCCTTTAGTCAATGACAAATTACAATGCACGGCCACCGTTAATGACCATAACAAACGAGGCTACACTTATTTATGAAAGTAATGAATTTATGTAAGTTAAACGTTCACAACGCTACTTTCCAAACAATAAGGAAAGCGAACCGTAACAACATGTAGTATAGATGCCGTCTGCATACATTTAGTTATAGAATCGTACCCGTTTCCTTTTCGTAACGAGCGACCCATTCGAAACCGTTCATGAAAGATGTCAACGTCTTAACTCAAGTGAGATTTGTCAACAGTACGATTGACTTACTTTACAATACAAACACTCGAACGTTAAGTAGTTGCGCTGAATGTATGTACCTATTCATATTTGTAGTAAATTAGTAACGTATCAAATTGAATGAATAATAAAATAAAAGATTAGCGATAAGAGCCTAGGTAAGTTATGTGGCATTACCAATGCATAAAACTACTAAATATGATAAAAGTGTGTAAATTACTCGGCGAGATGCGAGTGAGACAAGAGTGAGAGGGGGCCACTATAACATATTCACACTGTACTTCGGAAGCTCTCAACAGGCTTTGATCGCGATGGCCGAGAGCGAGGGTGCTACGGTCGATCGTGTCAGATCGGAGAGATACACCGCGAGCGCCCCACGAACATACGACCGACAGTCACCGAATATCTGATGTCGGCGCCATACTCCAACCGATATCGCGATCTCACTCCGGCCACTTGGCACATCTTATAACGAGCCACTGGAGTGAGTAATACTTTCAGTATTAAAATTTAAATGTAGCAATGCTATATTTCTTTTGATATTAAAAGAGATTTGTTTTAAACACCAGTATATAACTTACTGAAAATGTACCCTAGTGGTAACGATAACTCAGAATTTAATACTTAGTATTATAAAATTTTGATAAAAAATAGAATTATATTTGTTTGTAAATATCTGATATAGAAATATTATGTATGATAGATTTTAAATGGAAAACAAAGAAAGAAAAAATACATAAAATTAATCTTTTGTGGTTAAATGGAAATCGCTCAACCTGGATAATAACTATATCATTTCATGATTTGTGTATTGTCGTTCGTGAATTTAAAATAATTTTTAATAAGATCGTTAATTTTTAGTACTGGGTTTTGAGAGTGATTATTAAACAACACCGCAGTATTATTGACGACCATAGAAATATGGAAGATCAGTTAGACCGAGCCTCTACTCGGTTCACTTCAAATAAAAAACAAATATATAGATATGATTATTATGTTTAATTACAATGCAAAATAATAATTTCCATGAAATCTTATCGTAGTACCGTTAATTTTATTATAAAAAATATATTATCACAAGTCTAATTTTTATAATCATTCATAATTTAAACTTTATCACAAAAGCAACATTAAAAAAAGATATTTCATTAATTAAATGATACACCCGAAAATAGGTAAACGAAGAAGTAAAATAATATAAAAAATAACAGGGTCGTAATAAATCGTTAGAACAGATGTAAATTTTACAACAGATAATAACATTATGAAAACCCGTATTCAAGATCAAGGAGTGACAACCATGGCTCCGAGGGATTTATAATAATTTTCACTCCATCCAAGTCAGAACTCAAATACTTACATTGTAAGAAACTGCCTAGTAACTAAGATTTCTCCTGATTTCACTATATTCAGTTATGATCTCATCCCTTCAATATTGGTATAAAATGTTATTTTCAAGAAACACTGATTTTATAGAAAAGACGGTTTACGAAAGTAGATGAAGCAACAGATGTATGTATATTTCAAATATAGCCTTTGATGTTAGATTTTATAAGTAGAGGGATTTAATGGAAAAGCTAAAGGGAATCAAAATGCACGAACACGTTTACGATTATTGGTTGTTGATTACAATTGATTTTATGACTGAAACATATACACAATATAAGCCAACATCAGAATAACAACATATAAGATACATCAACGTTTTTTGGGAGATAACGTTCAATACAATAATAAATATATGGTTTGTTTCAATACACTTCCTGAAAATATAAATAATCGAATAATTGAACCGAACAAAGACAGTCTGTTGGTGTTCAATAATAGTACAATTAAAAGAAAATTTCTAAAAGAAACAAATTTCGTTTAGAAGATGATTTTGTAATAATTTCAAGAAAATTTCTTTCATCTTTTTCAGATATTAGAAGTTTTTTACAAGTGTAATAAGGAATATATAAAATTTGGTTCCCTTTTTCTAAGTTCTATTGAAACAAGAAAATCTTCATATTATGACAATTCATATTACTTCACCATTTAAATACTATTACATTACTGCAATTTATAGGAGTCATTATGTCAAGAATAAGTTTCAGATAAAGTATATAAAATTATTTTATGTAACTAAGTGTATTTATAATTTGTTTAATAATAATTTTATTGCATAACCATGATTGTAACAAAGTCAACACTGGAAATTATAGTAAAAGTATGAAAATTCATTTGTACATTTGGATCAGCTTAAACATCTGTGTCTGAACTATGTTATAAAACATGTATCTCAGACAACAAGGCTCAAGCTTTCATTAAATACAATATTAGCTCAGCGAAATTTTTAGTGCTACATATAGAATGTTGATTTTATATAAAGTTAATTTTCTAATTACAAATATTAGTAGTGAAAATTGAGAAAAAAAAAATCGAAAGAAATTGTTTCAAAAATAGTAGCAAACAAACAAATGGAATGCCTTATCCCATTGAATGAAACACTAAGAGTTACAATGTATGCGTTGCCGACCATAACGTAAACATTCTAAACTTTACATTATAGATCTATGGATTTTAACACGAGGAGTCGAGGACTGAAATAAACATAATATATACAAGTGTTATGTTTACGTTAAAATAGTTTAGTACGTTGTTATTATAGTAATAATCTACAACATACATGTAATGTACACTGTCATTAAATAATAAAATGTTAGTGTTGGAATTGTATCTATTTGCATACATTAATTTCTAAGTAATGTCAAATAGTAAAAACTTTTTTATTATCAATCAAGTTGTTATTATTTTCTTATTAAACGAATATTCGACTGCTTACACGCATTACATTATATTATAGTGTACCTATCTTCGTAATTTAATTTCGTGATTGTAGATCTCGAAAATATCTACTGTGTATTTGACAAATATGTTAGGGTTTTATCTTACCGTAACAAGAATACAACTGTAGAATATCATGTGCCTTTATCAATCATATCAGCCTTTAACTGTCCACTGTTGAACATAAATTTTCCCCTTGGAGGGTTTTGCCAGTATTTGCCACGCTTGACAAGCGGATTGGCAACCGCAGTTAGGCTATGGAGATGTTTTAAGAAGGACGCTGCTGCCTATCCTTCACCCTCCCTTAGTCGTTTCTTACAACACCCACGGGAAAGGAAGGGGTGGCTTATTCCATGCCGAGATCACGCGGTAACACGGCCCTTTATTAATATAACTGTTCGCGACATTATTTGTATATATGTAATCGTAATTTATAGTTGTTAAGTCCCTAGTTAATCGTTTCTGTTTTCTGTTATTTTATATAGATTTTACATAGATTTAAGATAGTGTAAGTTAAATAAAGTATTTCTTTGTGTGTTGTCATTATTACCTACGAATAGAAATAGAAATTGTAACAATAAATAGAATTAAGAAATTGTAAATTGCAATAAATAAACGCTATAGAGTACCGATCTGAAGAGACACGCGTCTCGTTCTTTCTCGCCCCGTCCCGCTCGCGCAGATTCGCTAACGCGAGTTGGAAACGTTATCATGCGAGCGGGCGGGTATAAAGATAGGCCGCCTCTCGTCGAGCGGCATTCGCTTCCGGGCAGCGACGCACTACACTCGAGAAGAAATAGGACAAGAAGAAAAAATACTCTCTTCAGACGGTACCGGAGGCTTCAGAATAGTAATCCCTGTGTTTCACTCCAGCCTGAACCAACGCCCCTACAGTCCACGCTCACCGAACGGCAGTCCACATCGCACATCGTGGTCCTTCGAGAAGCCGGATTGCTGGAGGAACACCGTTGGTACATCGAGAAGCCGGATCGCTGGAGGAAGACCATTCTGAAGCCGGATCGCTGAAATGCCGACTACGAGAAACATGAAGTCGTCGCAACAAAAAATCGCCGTCACCGAAGCCACAACGTCCGCCGCCACCACGTCGACTACGGCCGCCGGAACGCTGTCCGTCGCTGCCACGCCGTCCGTTGCTGCCACCACGTCGTCTGCGGCTGTCAGAATGTCATCTGTCGCTGCCACGTCGTCTACCGCCGCCACCACATCGACTACGAACACGTCCGGCGATACGACGACCACAGGAGCCACGGAGACTACCGAAGCCACAGGAACGACAGAGGAGACAGCAAGGAAGAAGGAACCGAAGCACGGCACGGCACGCACGGTTCGCACCACGGCCTCACAGAAGAAGAAGGCTCTGGCCAAGGCACGGGAGGAGCTACTTCGAAAGGAGGTGGAATTGGCTGCTGCACGTGTCGCCGCCCTGGAAGCCGAATCAGAGGACGACGAGGAAATAGAAGACGACGACGCTACCGTCAGAAGAGAACGAACGTCGGATTGGGTTCATCGAAGCACGCTGGCACTCACGATGGAGCCGCATGTACCAGAGATAGAAGAAGTCACCGGCAAGCGTCAGGGGTTCGTCCCATCGAGACCCGTTGAAGAGGATTCGAGAGCGCCGCCGCCACAGCCGAGCAGCGACACACTTCACCGGGACCACGCACGCCACGTTGACCCACATGCCGCCATGCCTACGATAGCAGCAGCGATGCAGTCGATGAAGAAGAAGAACCGGTGCTGAAGGTGGGCATCGATTGTAATGAGTTTGCGATCGCCATGCAGATGGCCGCTCGCAACATACTGCCCTCCACAGCGTCAAGAGTCACCGAGTTGCCAGTCTTCAATGGATCGTCGAGCGAGTGGTTACCATGGAAGATGGCCTATGAAGAGAGCGCAAGTCAACTCACAGAACAAGAGAACCTAGCAAGACTGCGCAGAAGTTTGAAGGGGGCCGCAAAGGACGCGGCACGCTCCCTATTCGTCGGGTCTACGACCGCAGAAGAAGTAATGAAGATGTTAGCCGCGAGGTTCGGCCGCCCTGGAGCACTCGTCACAGCCGAACTGAACAAACTCCGCGCGCTACCACGACTCTCGGACAACGCAAGAGACGTCTGCCTCTTCGCAAGCAAGGTGCAGAACGTCGTCGCCACGATACGAGCGCTGAACAAGAGTCACTACCTATACAACGAAGAAATAGTGAGAAACGTCACAGAGAAGATGCCGTCGGTACTACGCTTCAAGTACTACGATTTCGCCAACGACCAACCGGAGGGACAACCGGACCTCATAACACTCTCTCAGTTCCTGCAAAGGACCGCCGCACGATGTGGAAACTTCGCCCCCGCCGAGGAGATACCGTCCGAAGACCGGCGGGAGTCCGCTCCTAGGAAGACGGCGAAGACATACACGACGCAGGAGAAACCCGCTACACCACCGTGCCCGATGTGTCGACGAGAGGGACACGCTCCATCGGACTGCAAGACGATGAAGGAAGCAGACACATCGGCGAGATGGGAGTTAGCGAAGACTCATAGGCTGTGTTTCCGTTGCCTCAAAGTGAGAAGATTTCGCCACGCCTGCAAGAGCAAGAGATGTGGAGTAGATGAGTGCACGCAGACTCATCACCCTCTGCTGCACACCACGCGACAACAGCCGGAGAATGAAGTAACAACACACGTCGTCGAGGACAAGTCCGCCGCAGTCACCGCATCGGCAAGGGAAAACGACAAGATCGCGTTCCTGAAGATCCTGCCGATACGAGTCACCGGTCCCACGGGAACGTGCGACACCTACGCGCTACTGGACGACGGGTCGACTTGCACCATCATCGAGACGACGGTGGCGGAGCGAATCGGTGCTACGGGTCCCCCCGCACCATTCTACATGGAAGGTGTGGCCGGGGCACGGATCAACGCAGCTCAATCGACGCGTGTTCACTTCAAGATCCGCGGGCGGAATTCACAAGAATACACAGTGGGGGCACGGACGATGGACAGACTGCAGTTATCACCGCAGTCGGTACCGCGCAGCGTCATCAAGGGCTGTCCACATCTACGAGACATAGAGAGGGAGTTGGTCTACGAAGAGGGCAAACCGACGGTACTGTTGGGGCAAGACAACTGGCACCTACTGCTGGCCCACGAAGTCAGAAGAGGATCCGACACGCAGCCGGTCGCATCACTCACCGATCTGGGATGGGTACTGCACGGTACGAGTCGCGGCAGGACAAGACAGCAGGTGCACAGAATCAGCCACATAGTGACGACACATGAAGAGGAACAATCGATGGAAGAAATGATGAAGCAACATTTCGCGCTCGAATCGCTGGGGATCGCACCGAAGAGGTCTTACAATGAAGAGGAACGTCGCGCCCTACGCATTTTAGAAGAAAAAACTCGTCCGTTACCGGCGGGAGGATACGAGACGGGGTTACTGTGGAAGAAGGACGACCCTGTGCCGCCGGACAACTATGAATCGGCAATGCGACGTCTCCAACTGGTCGAAAGGAAATTCGACAAAAACGAAGAACAGTGGCCGCGTGAAGATAGTTCAAGCGACGATAGTCAAGCGGAAACGGGAGAAGAACGCGTACACAAGCTACAGAACGCGACGCAGTTGTCTATAGCATTACCCGATCCGTCACGTTTTTCTAATTGGTTGAAACTTGTTCGCAGTTCAGCACGGGTGTTGCAGTTCATCGACCTCCTGCGACCGACCAGTCAACGCTGCACCGCCATCCGAAAGAGGAAACAAGAAGAAAGAGAGCGCCGACCCCACTTGGACCCGCACGAAGAAAGTCGATAGAGAGAAGACGAAGATGAAAATCAAGAACAGCAATAGTCCATCTGTGTGTTTCATCCCCATAGACACACACTACCTAGATCGCGCGCGACGGCTATGGATTCGCGCGATACAACAAGAGGCGTTCGGCGACGAAATCGCAGTATTGAAACAAGGGAAACAGCTGCCGTCATCCAGTCGACTCATACAGCTGTCAGTCGTCATAGACAACGACGACATTCTGCGACTTCGATCGAGAATAGCAGCCGCCGCCGATTTGTCAGCCGAGCAACGAGAACCCCCATCGTCGACGGAAACCACACCTGGGTGCGCCTATACATCGCATGGGTGCATCGGAAACTTCACCACGGCGGCTTCGAGATCACCACGAACGAGGTGCGACAACACTTGTGGGTGTTGCGCCTACGACACGCCGTCCGCAGTGAACTGAAGAGGTGTCAGCTGTGCCGCCTACGAAGAGCAAGACCGGCGCAGCCGTCAACGGGCAACCATCCACAGAGCAGGCTGGCGCATCATCAACGACCGTTCACGTTCACCGGCCTAGACTACTTCGGGCCTATGACCGTGACAGTGGGCCGCACTCACCAGAAACGATACGGAGTGCTCTTCACCTGCCTAACGACGCGCGCAGTCCACCTAGAAATCGCCGGCAGCCTCAGCACGGACTCCGCCATAATGGCCCTGCGGCGCTTCATAAGCCGCAGAGGGTGTCCCACAGAATTATGGTCCGACCAAGGCACCAACCTCAAAGGTGCTGACGTCGAACTGAAGAAAGCAGCCGAGGAAGCCATCCAAGAAGAGTCATCAGTTCATTTCATCCGGTGGCGCTACATTCCCCCGAGCGCACCCTTCATGGGAGGTGCGTGGGAACGGCTGGTGCGTAGCGTGAAGACCGCACTAGCCGCTACGTTGAACGAGCGGGCCCCCAAGGAAGAGGTCCTCCACACTCTGCTGGTCGAGGTCGAGCACACCCTCAATAGTCGACCGCTAACCCACGTGTCAACATCGGCAGACGACGACAGCGCCCTAACCCCCAATCACTTCATATTGGGCGGTCCATCGCGCGTCCCACTGCCAGGCAGCTTCACAGAGAGCGACGCGGCGGGACACAAGGAGTGGCGTGCCAGCCAGAGGCTAGCTGACTGCTTCTGGAACCGGTGGGTGAAGGAGTACCTACCCGAGTTGCAACACCGGCGGGAGCCCCGAGCTACACACGGAGCCATCAAAATGGACGACCTGGTCCTGATAGCTGATGGGACCTTGCCTCGCAACACGTGGCCGCGAGGCATGGTGGTGGCGACCTACCCTGGACCAGACGGCGAGATCCGAGCAGTCGACGTGCGGACGAACAAGGGCATCCTACGGCGACCCACTAAGAAGCTGATCATACTGCCCACATCGACATCGAGCGACGCGAACACGAGTTAACTCCAGCTACGAGAGCTGCGGCGGGAGATTATGTTCGCGACATTATTTGTATATATCGTAATTTATAGTTGTTAAGTCCTAGTTAATCGTTTTGTATTCTGTTATTTTATATAGATTTGCATAGATTTAAGATAGTGTAAGTTAAATAAAGTATTTCTTTGTGTGTTGTCATTATTACCTACGAATAGAAATAGAAATTGTAACAATAAATAGAATTAAGAAATTGTAAATTGCAATAAATAGACGCTATAGAGTACCGATCTGAAGAGACACGCGTCTCGTTCATTTTCGCCCCGTCCCGCTCGCACAGATCGCTAACGCGAGTTGGAAACGTTATCATGCGAGCGGGCGGGTATAAAGATAGGCCGCCTCTCGTCGAGCGGCATTCGCTTCCGGGCAGCGACGCACTACACTCGAGAAGAAATAGGACAAGAAGAAAAAATACTCTCTTCAGACGGTACCGGAGGCTTCAGAATAGTAATCCCTGTGTTTCACTCCAGCCTGAACCAACGCCCCTACAGTCCACGCTCACCGTGCGGCAGTCCACACCGCACACATAAAAATAAATGAATTTATTCTTACGGTATATCTGTAACATACTCTATTCTATTATAATGACACATGACTGGTAAACGATGATAAATATATGTACCAACCATGAATCAAGATGATGATAAATCGATTGCAAAGACAATGATCAAAATCGGTTTTGAATTAGCAAAGATGTTGCGTAAAGTAGATACATGAAGAACTTCCTCTTAGATGTCTCTTAAAAAAAATTGTTATTTAACATTTGTGTAAAGACACAATTAAAATGGTAACTTTTTAATTTAATAATACGTTTCTCCAAGGAACTGCAGCCAACAACTTCAGCATAATAAGTTTAATATCTGTATCGTCAAATATCTAACGATTCTTTCTACACACATTTATAACAATAGAGAAATCAAGCAGGGTACCTAATTATTTAAAATCGTTTACCAGCCTATCTACCACCAAAATTTTTCCGAAATTTTCGAGCTGATATAAAAAAAAAACTTGGTGTTAAAGTTATGAAAAAGTGCTGACAAAATGGTACGATTTTGATCGTTCGAAGACTATGAAACTTGTTTCATCGTACGCACGAAATTCGGGTTCGAAATTTCGGAATTAGTTTTTGTGATAGACCTCCAGGTCACGGGTAGTAAATACGCGTATATCAGAAGTAACATCTAATGCACCTACCTATTTGTATTTTTTTCACTACATCTTATTTACATTGAAGATAAAACTTGTATTAACACTTAAATAAGGTTTCAATTCTCTTGCATCGCAAAATATTACAGTTTTATATTATTAAAATCTAGAAAGATAACCAAATAATTGGATGGCACTTCTTTTCTGGTATCGAATAGACGTTAAACAGATAAAACGATACAATCTTATTTTGTAACACTAGAAACAACTAGATATTTATACATCACTTTTTGTCTTACATTTCGCTCTTTGAGTAGAACGTTCAATATGAGATTCCGTTTAAAATCTAGTTACTTAATATATTTATGTATATATAGACATCAGTATTACAGTAGTATCTGTAGGCATAGTACAGATCAGAAGGTATACTCTGGTAGATGGTAAAATATTTGAGTAGGTGTTTTTTTGCGTAAATGAGTTAATTTTTTTTTTATCTATCTAAATCAGTTTGTTAACTAAACAAAGATAAATTTATGAATAGTATTTTTTTTTCTGATTTTACTTTGTCTAATATTTGCTAAATATTTGGTATTACAAGTAATGAAATGGTATAAAAATTATACATTTTCAATGATAAGAAAACTGGCAGTGTCAATTAGAGATAACTTCGTTCACATTATAATAACATAGAACATAGGCTTCTCCCATAGACTCCTATATAGAATAGTCTTAATCCATCTGTATAACTTTTTGCATCCGTTAACATTTGAGCTCTTTGATGCACCTTGGAAGGTCCTTCTTAATTTATTGAGTCTCCGTCTGATGTTTACGGGTTTAATTCTCGTATAATATAAATATTTGTATCCGTGCATTTATGTCTACATTTTTGAGAGTTTTTTTCATAATACTACGATACCTAGCCACATTGCTCTGAGTGAATACAGGAATAGTATGGGTCTACAGGGTCCATAAATGCAATCGATCAATCAATTGACATAAATGTATAATTATATATTTAATATTATTATGTTATGTATATAATTATGTATTGTTTTTTTTGTCTGTTTGCTTATTATGTTGCAGAGTCAATTATATTTTCTATTATATCTGTCTAGCCATATGGTGTTAAGCCCGCCATTTACACTGTCTAGGTGTATTTAAGTGAATAAATAAATAAATAATTGTTTCTTATTGCCATTGCAATTCAATGCTTGTTGGCTAAGCATAGTACTGTTGTCTCATGGAGTAATTAAATTTATTAACAGTATTTACCATCACCAGAGAATTAATGGGGCATAAATAGATAAAATTTTTTGTATATAGAATCGAAACATTGACCATTGAGGTCTTTTGAAAAAATTATTAGACCACGACGCTCTTTTAAAATAATATTTCTCTACAACAAACATGTAATAACTATAGGGTAAAATTGGAAACATTAGGATCCTTTTAAAGATGTGTTTTAATATTTTTTTTCCCAAAGAAATATGGGTTGATAAACGACAAAATATTTTCGACCTTCCCTTAAAGATGGTGCATGCAGCTGTTAATATGGGAGGCTAAAATTTTTTGGTACTTTTAATTGATTAATTTTATTCTAATTTAATGGTAGAACACTGCCTGAAAAGGATGCTACGATATCGATCTCACCCTGTATATAGAAATTAATTCCACGATATTTTATGTTTATTCTGATAGATAGTTCTACATCATCGTATATAACATTGACATCACCCATTTATCACATTTTTACTAATATTAAAATCATTCATATACTCCATCTAATTTACAAGAACATTTATCTAATAATAATCCGACTACAAATTTTAGCATAATATCTTTTTTATAGGTATACTTAGAGTTGCCATCTGCCCGCATTTCTCGGGCTTTGTCCTCGTTTGAAAGGTGTCCGTGATACTCTAGTTGATTGATATATTAGAAATTATCAATCACTTCGTTGACGTTAAATAATCGTCGAAAATATTGATATTACTTTTCTAGTTAAATAAAGCAGAGGCAGTAACAAAAAATATTGTTGATCGTTGGTTAATTGGCTTTTACATAATAAAAAATTTGCCACAAATACTGATTCACAGTATTTATTAGCGACCACAAACTAATTGCAAGATGCATAGTCAGGATTTTGTATTAGGAATCTTTTAAAGTCTGCATTTAAATTTTTAATTTCTGAATCAGCTTTATATTTTCTATTCTAATAGTTGTGTTTACTGATTTGCTGTTTTATTTTTTTCAGATGGCAACTCTAGTATACCTAGGATAGTGGATGTTGATATAAGGACGGAGTATACTCCGTCCTTAAGATATCAACATCCAAAATTTTGTTTATCAACATTTAAAACCTATATAACTGAGTTTATATTTTAAAATTGTGCACCTGGTTCCATTTACTAATAATAGGCAAATAATAGGGTATATGCCGACTACTTTTGGTACCTGTAGGTAGGTAGATATTTTAAGTAATAAACACAGAAATGGAATATCTATAAATACCATAGATGTCAAGAGTAGTATAATTAAAACTGGTTTCCGTTATTTGTCAAATTTCAAACAAAAAATATGTTAAAACACCACATACTTTGCCTTTACACTTTCATATACGTACATATTTATCACGCCTGTGTCTCATTAGGGTAGGTGGATACAATGTTACGCCAAATGCTTCGATTTAAACAGACCTCTTTCGCTTCTTTCATATTCATTAATCTTTTCATATACGCTCGTTGGTTAAACGTACTTTAAATTTGACCCTTCCTCAGCACGTTGTCTATTTGATCAACATACGTACTTTTATGACGGCTCCTACCGACATCTCCACTCATTCGTGCTCGATAAATCTCTTACGTAATTCTTCTTTCATCCATCCTCTCTAAACGACCAAACCAACGCAACATTATCTTTTCGAATTTTGTCACTACATCGTCTCTGAGTCCACATTTCTCTCGAATCCCAATATTTTTCACTCTATCTTTTCATGTAATACCACACAATTTTTTTTAAAGTTCTTATCTCTGCAGTATTTATCTTGATTTCATGTTTCTTTTGTCATGCCCACGTTTCATTTTCATACATAAGTGTTGGTGTTAGTACTCTCTGAATTATGGCAAGGTAACATTTACTCGATATATTTTTAAGATATATATTTTATTCCTTTTTTTATAACATAATTCTACAATTTCAGTGATACGTTAGTAAAAACCTTGTTAAGTATATAAGTTACATTTTAATGCAATAAGAAATATATACATATATAAACAAATAATAATTCAGAAATCATTAAGAGAAAATACAGACGTTGCTAAGTTTATGGGAAGCACCCTCTTAATAAAAGACTTCAGTCAATATATTCTTTGGCTTCTAAATTCAAAATACAAGTATTTTATAGAACGTTAAGACATTGCTAGCAGGCATATACCCTTTTATTATTGTGGGGAATGTCTGCTTGTTTATAATGTTTCGTCGTCGCCTCCGCCCCTCGATTTGCTGTCCAATCTCAATTCTGCTAGCCTTTGCCGGATACTGTTTGGCCTATAATAAATTAGTTGTAATTAATTATAAAAGCAAAATATTAATTAATGGTCACAGACAATCAGGTACTTTTAAAATACCAGTACGGCAAATTGTTTAAATTCAGTTGAGTTATTAGTATATATTGCTTTTTGTACCGGTATTTTGGCTCCGGTAGTAAATATAAAACATAGCTAGTAAATAGATAAATTAGTGCGTACCTATGTGAGAAGTAGGAGGTGACGACTTGGTCCGCCGACACAGACTGACGCTGGTACGCGCCGGCGCTCAGGTTGCTCTGTGGGATCTTGTAGATCCGCACGCATCGGCCGCTGTTCTCTGGCAACACTGTGAACATAGATATAATGTAGTCATATACCTGTTTGTTGTAGTATGATATTAAAGATTTTATTTAAGGCGATAAGAAATAATGATGATAAAAAAATTATTAAATATAAATAAATTTATTTCGTTACTTCTTGCAAGAAAAGGTTAGTGTCACTTTTCACATAATAATACATAATGCCTTGCTTATACAAGTGCATGTATTGTACATAGTATATTTTGTACATGTACATTAGTTTTTATCTACAATTTGTACTTTTTCTGCACTAGATTTATTAATCTTTCTATTGAAAAAAAAACTCAAAAACATTCAAAAAATATTTTACATAACTAAAAAACAATTTGCATTTATTTTAAACATGGAAAATATAGCTGGTAATATACTTATACCCAAAAGAAGGTCAGACCTGTTTTATGGTATATAGGCATGTTCCGTAATACGTAAAGAATACATATATATATATATATATATATATATATATATATATATATATATATATATATATATATATATATATATATATATTATAAAGTAGCTGATTAGATAAAGGTTAATTGTCCCTACCATCACTATATATAATATACGATTATCAAAACTATCTTATCTCCTATTTTTTAAGTTGAAGGGAATGATACACATTTATAAAATTTCATTAAAATTAATTGAACGAGAAATTTCGAAATCAATGATGATCGTGACACGAGACCTTTGTACTAATATATTTAACAAAATAAATTATATGATTTACCGTGTGGCGAACTTGGCGGTGATATAGGCGCCATGCGCTGTAGTGGTGGTCGGATGTTCTCTTGTTCTGAAGATATAGAGCTGCTTCTGCTAGAGGCCGAGTTGTTCTCAGGCGTCCGGTTGTTCTGGTTGGATTCGGTCCTGCTCAAAGTTTATTGTTATTTAACACATTTTAATATGAGATAGAGTGGGCCGTCCCTTCCTTTCCCGTGAGTGTTTTAAGAGGGGACTAAGGGAACTTAATTGTCGAGGGATGGACAGCAGCATTTCTCTTTAAGTATGACCAAAGTCTAATTGCGGTGCCAACCTAGTTGGTTTTTAATACCAACTCATGTTGATATTAAATAAAATACATTAAATAATTGCATATCTAATTTGTGGTTATATTACTTAAACGATACAAAAATAAACATCTCTACAAATAAATGCGAAATAAAAAAAAAAACTTAAATTTAAGATGTAATTTCAAATTCATCATCATTATCATATCAGTTGTTATCCATCCATTGCTGAATATAGGTTTCGTCCGTAAGGGAGGAATGGGGGAACTTGTCAGCAGTTGTCACGCTTGGCAGGCTGGCAACCACAGTTAGGTTTTAGTGGTGTTTTTAGAGGGACAGCGTTGCCCATTGCTCGACAATGAAGTTCCCTTAGTCGCCTCTTACAAGACCCACTTATTTGATGTAAACACGAGCAATTAAAAATTGACTGACTTATCATTGTCGTCCTCGTCGAGTGAGTAGGGCGGGTGCGGGGGCAGCGGTTGCTTAGCGGCCGCGTGCCGCGCCAGCTCATACTCGTGCAGCAGACTCGAGTCCAGCTCGCGGCTCAGCGGCACGTACTCTGGCGCGCACGCCACGTAGAATATGTCCTGGCGTTAATGCTATTCATCAGTATTGTTTATTTTTAAACATTGTACACTTATTATTAACAATACAAACACGAGGACCGGAATTGATTCGGGTCTGGGTGTGTTTGAAACGATTTTGATGCTATTTCTATAGAACTAATTTTAACGTAAAAAGAAATTATGAAATAGTTTACAAATAACCGAGATATGAGGTAATAAATATAAAAAAATTCAACCGAAATGAGAATCTCCTTTTCGAAGTCGGTTAAAAATATAAATATGACTGTCTCTGCCTATCTACTCACCCTTCTTCCACAAAGTAACTTCAGTCCGGGAATACAGGCCGCGTGTACAAGGGACCCGTTGGCTACTAATCGTATTTCTAACAAGTCTTCAGCGAACGCCATTATGTAAGGGAATGCACACACTGAAACAAGGAAAATAGCTAAGTATACATGTAAGTAGTATAGTATTATATATACACAATGTGATAGTGGGCGTATCCAGCTAAGTACTTTTCAATTTAATTAAATAGGATTTAGCTATTAAAACTGATAAATAACAAATTTTATTTCGAAAGTCTAAATTGTTACGTTATCACTGCGGATGAGCCACGATTTTTTTTAATTAAAAAAAATCCCTAATCAGACTAGTATTGTTAAGGGGAGATTTGATCTCATTATTTTCATTAGTACACTTGTGTGAACCGGGCATTTTTTAAAGGATTACAACCATTGGTATTAAGTTTATTTTAGCTTAGCTTATTTTAGGAGGCGACCTGGCCCCTTAAAAGGGCGCATATGCACTTTTAGACATGTTTTTGTGACGTTCCTGATCCTAGAGTGGGTAACGGACAATTATGGACTGGGCACAGTCCACTCTGCCACTTTTAAATCTTCTTGGGATTATTTATCAAATAAATAAGAATTATTATTATACAGGAAGATAAAAATGCTATAATTACCAACAGCTGCGGGCACGGTTGTCCAATGAAAGTCGTATTCACCGTCACTCTCGAGCCCCTTACTGGTCAACCTTTCAAAATGACACGTATCTGAAAGGAAAGTTCATTTTATCGTATCTACTTGCTGTAATAATGCAGCTTTGCTGCATCAACTAGTGTTTAAAAGTTTACACCACTTATATAAGTAACGGTGTTGTCCCGGTACAGATTGGGCCACCGCTTATTTCCGGTGGGTGTCGTAAAAGGCGACTAAGGGAACTTAATGATCGAGGGACGGGCAACAGTGTTCCTTTTAAAACATCACCAAAGCCTAATTGTGGTTGCCAATCCAACAGCCAAGCATGGTAACTATTGGTAAAACTCTCTTTAAGGGGGAGGCTTTCATGTTCAGCAGTGAGCAATTAACGGCTGATATGATAATGATGATATAAGTAGAAATAAAGTTAGTTAATGAAATTTATTATAAGCATTACGAAATAGTATTTTTTCGTCATTCTACCGCCTAATTCGAAATACAATTTGAGTTGAAAAGAAGGCAAGAAACTCCATGCTTGTTTTGTTTAAACAAAAGTTGATTTTAAGTGTAAAATTAATCTTACTAAGATAAATGTAAAGTTTAAGTGTTTGTTATTCAATAACACTTTAACGCTTGAATGAATTCGAATGAAATGTTGTACACAGATTATATTTATTCTAGATTAACAATTAGAATTGTCTACTATTATTTAAAATTGTATACTTACGGTTATAACATAAAACTATTTGTCCATCCCTTTCATCACCGATGTGTAGTGCGTTGACCAGTGTGCCTCGGCGAGGTCCACTATCCTCAGAGTTTTCTACACGTTTTACAGACTGTAATATTTGCGTGAGAATATCATGAGATTATGAACTTTATACATTTAAAAAATAAATATCATATACAACACTTTTTTTACGACTAGAAGAATAATATTGTTTTTTTTTCAAATTTTATAATATAATAATTAATATACAAGTTCTCACAATTCGTTCCGACCGACGACGGTACGCTTCCGTACACAGTAATTTCCCTGCCATATCTCATCCTTCAAACCGAAACGCTGTAGCTATATGAAAATATCTGATCAAACAGAAAGTAATTTATTTATATAATGCTGATCGGTACAGAGACCTTTGTCATATTTATTTTTTTATTATCCCGCCCTGCTACTTGGAATGTATATACAAAAGAAATAGAATTGCTGTAGATAAAGCACGAAGAGTTTTAGATGTTATACTGTATTTCAGAAAAACATTCGGCAAGAAGCTTCACGTTTCGTATTCCTTGAAGAAAACTTTCTCGTTTAAAATATTAAATTTCGGGTTGACATACTTCATTAGAATGGAGAAGTCTATGTACATAATAATCACACGATGAATTATATCTTTACTAGTTATGAACAGATTTTAATATATTTTTTTTATATTTCAATAAGGTTTACTCCCGTGTTAGTACCATATACCTTTTGTCATGTTGAAGTTGTAGTTTTATGGTGGTGCAAAATCTTAATTTGTGGATTAATTTTATTGTGGAAAAAACAATAACATACTTGTCCAGCACTCGTTTCTAGGACTTCCCAATGGTGCTTGTAACCAACTACCATCGTTGCTACTTCCCCGTCCATTAGTTTAATCAATACAGGCGATTCGCTTAGTTGAATGTCCTGAAAATAAGTTGAAAATAACTTCTACTATCGAATACCACGGATTCCATAAGTACACATGAAGCAATTCGCCGTTTCATTCCCATGTAAACTGCTAAAGAAGCTCCATCCTATCATTATCATTTATACTACTATTCCTCATTGGTCATACAAGTGCAAACCCATCTTGTGATAAAAATAAATATATATAAAAATATATTGTTAAATCTATACTTTGTTGACTGTTATTTATACATTCATCATTACCTATATTTATTCATTTCCAACTAATTACATATAAAATAAAAACTAATTCTAATACACGATTTCCATATAAAAGGATCGAAGTTAAATGAATGGTACAAATAGTATTACGAAAACTAAATGCATTAAATAGCACAAGTAGAAGGTATTCTTAAAGTGTATACTTACTTTGATATGTGTGTATTCGAAACCCATTTCATTATCAGTCTTTGATTCTTCCGTCATAAGCATCACCCTTCTACCAACAGCCACCGCAAGGATAGTTTTACCATTTTCACCTAAAAATATTCAAGTGATAGTTAAGGTATATCGATGTAATTCAAGGATATGTAAGTGTTGGCTGGCAACACAAATTTTTTTTTATAATAGCAACATTTTTGTCCTCCCGCAATAAACGCCAACAGTGTGTTTGCGATTCCGTATTTTTTACAAATATTTTTATTCTTCACATTGACATTTTAAAAAAGTTACAGTTCACAAAAACTACTTCTTCTACTAACTGTAGTATAATTTTTTATCTGACAAAATAAGCAAACAATTGATGGTCAGTTTAAGAGTCTAATACGTTACAATACCTTGAGCGGTGCAGATTGTCTAATGCTCAAAATCGTCTATTACTTATTTTTCTCCAAAATTTATTTATTATGTGCTAATTTGTAATTATATATATAATATAATTACAAATTTAATTAAATGTTTAAATTTATCATGCACTCACAAAAACAAATGTTTGTTTTGTCGAACTTGGGAATCAAAACCACAACTATATAAAATGCTACACCATACAGCACTAGTAAATACACTTGCCGTAGTAAAAGCTATGTACCTGACTCAAGTAGGTCAAAATAGTGTGCAGTTTTCGTGCGCGGCAGACGCGCATGTTTGCAATCCTGCAAAGGGCGCATGGCCCATGCGCCGGCGCACAGTTCCGGCAGCGGCAGCGCATACAGACCCGCGCCTCCTGCGCCGCCCCCCGCAGTCCCACTGGGGCCCAGTACGCGCGTTCCCACGCGGAACAACCCAGCACGCTCACTCACACGTGCTGCGCGGACGCAACCCTCCCACCGGAGGACTACTCGGGTTGTGCCGCTTTCTGGAGACCAGGGAGCTTATAAGCGTTTAAAACATATCACTTTTAGACATTATATATTATTATTATATATTAATTTATCCTGCAAATTAGTATTAAATCATAGACAAAATGAAACAGTTTTTTTTAGTCGCATGACCAAAACCTATCAAGTTTTGAAAAGTTGTTAATAAACTCTTTAAGCATCTGTAAAAATAATGGTCTGGTCTTCAAGCTAAGGGCCTTCAATACACCTTAGTACCTAAGACGACCATTTAGACTAAGCAACTAGAATTAACAGATCCATATTAATTTAGAAATAGTTTCCGTAATTCGTTGGATTGAAAATCAAAACTTCCAAAAGCTCAATCAAGCATACGTCAGTAACTACCAAGAAGACTGTAAGGGCAGATTACTGCAAAGATTTATGTATAAAGTTTTATTTTTATTAGTGATAATATTTATAAGTATCATAGAGAATTTTACAATTGTTTTGAAGTGTTTATACTTAGGTTGATTACCCACATTATGAAAAGTAGTTTGACATGATAAATGTTTTGTAAAACTAATGTTTTGTATTATTAAGAAGTTTGACCATAACAACTACAAGTATTTATTATGTAGATATACCTTCTAATATATAAGTATTGGAAGTAGTTGATAGTAGCAATCGTCCTTCAGTCATTTGTTCTGCACAAACCGGTGTGGCAGGTAACGGTGCTGCGCGCCATACACGACCTTCCCAAGGAGCTCGACGAGAACCACCAGATCCTTTAATTTATTGGAAACAATTGTTTAAGATGTAGATAGGTATTTAAAGGATAATTAATCTAATAAATATTAAAAATATTTAAGATTAATTATTCTCCTAAGTGCTATCCTTAATCTATAATTCGCTTAGAAGAAACATGAAAGTAAAGTAAATGTTGCAGAAATAAAAAAAATTGAGTACTATGCAGTGTATCATTAAAAACAATAATTTAATATAATAAACAATAATATAATAAATATTAATGGGAAATAAGGTGATTAGAGAGAAGCGTGTCCAGAAAAATTATGCAGTGACAAAGGGAAAAACAATAAGGATAAAGGACTCTATATGTGTTTATTTGGTTATATTGAAAGGATGGATGAAACAATAATTATGAAAGGGTTAAATCGATAGCGAATCAGTGAAGGGGTCGGTAGGTTGAAGGTATTTCGACCAAATAGGTAATATGCTGAAAAACTGGCGAACTGGTATGAATAGATTGATGAATGTAGAAGTCAAAGAGGTCAGTATAAATCGGACATTTTGGGGTTCCATTGTTTTTGTTTACGCCAATGGGAGATAGGCGCGTTATGTATATGTATATATGGACATTTGTTATATAGAATAGGGATAATTCTAATTAAAAAGAAAATTTAAAAGTCAATAAAAGTTCAATAGATTGACAGTGAAGATATAAATAAATAGTGAAGGAAACAAAAAGTAACTACTATAGATATACCCGTAGAGCGACGATCTCAAATGTGTGCATCATATTAGTGGTTGCAGATAGCTCAGGTGTATTTGCTATTTCCAGGTTGTCTTTTTTTTATACAACTTAGAATGACAAACAAGCTGACGGCCTACCTGATGGCAAGTGATAACCTTCGCCTATAGACATGAACAGTACCATGGACATAATAGAGTATACTGTTAAGCCCATGATACCCCCCATGCATTGCCATTCCTGAGGACTCAGATGTTATTCCTCTGTACCCTGTAAATTCACGCCATATCCCGAAACACAGCCATGCAAACACAATTGCTTCACGGTAGAAACACGAATGGGACAAAGGTACCCAAGCAATCGACTTTTGTACAAAGTCACCCTCTGGTGCAAGAAAGTCTGTAAAAAATTGCTTTTAGCGATAAGGCCGTCTTTTGTACATGCACATTCTGTATAAATATTTATTGCATAAATCTCTTTTGTGCGCAATAAAGAGTTTATTTTTATTATTGTTTACGATTGAAGGTTTATGTTTAGCTGTGGATAAAATGAATGTCGATAAATGTGTGTCGTATGGTTCCGACATAAAATGGGCCACCTCTTCCATTTCCGTGTGTGTCATAAGAGGCAACTAAGGGAAATTAATAGTCGAGATATAGGCAGCAGCGTCCCTCTCACAATATCAAAGGCTAACTGCGGTTGCCAACTTGTCTGTGAAGCGTGTCAACTACTGGCAAAATCCCCTAAGGAGGAGGCCTATGTTCAGCAGCGGACAGTTAACAACTAATATGATGATGATGAAAATGAATGACGAAATTACTGAAGGAATGATGATGATGATGAAATAATAGTTACCAGTGGATACGAGACTGGTGGGTGCATCTCCCCGAAGTACAGCGTCAAGTTTGAGCGCTTGTCCAACGTGGAGGAAGCGTTCTGTACGTGCAGCACCCGCCCCGCCAGCTCCTGCTCCGCCCGACCACACGTCCGATAGCGCGCGTCGAGATAACATCGGCTGGGACAATATTTGTTTGTAAATTATTTTTTTCTATACAACTTAGAATGTCAGACAGGCTGATGACCAACTTGATGGAAAGTGATAATCATTGCCTATAGACATGAACAGTGCCATAGATATCACAGAATACATAGTTTGGATACCCATGTCTTTTTTCATGCGTTAGTGTTATTGAAGAATAATTTATATCTAGTAATTTCAAGGCCATATTCCAAGATTAAATATTCGTAAATAATCTCGTTGGTAAAATTATTTTTCCTTGGTAATTAATCGATATTTTAACATTTACAGTTTTTGATTGTACTATGACCGTAATATGATAGTATTGTATATATTATCAGACTACACTTAAGTTTTGTAAGTATTCTAAACTAGCTCTAAATTCAGTTACGATATGTTTTGATAGTACCTTATATGATATGCAGTAAACATTATTTATATGTATAACGATAACGGAAAAAATATTATGACCTTTCCTGAACACGTCCCTTTTTATCAGAAGTACGAATATCACTACCTATCTATAGATAACTTTTCTTTGAATTTTTTGTAACACGTATCAAGTTATTTTGTATGTTCTGATATTAAAATATATACTGTTTTGTAAAAGAAGAAAAAGTATATGAAGCCACTTTTGTACAAGTAGACATTGTGCCACAAGGAAAAGAAAACATCGACTTCACTCGTAGTAAACCCAATTATCTTGATTTTAAAATTAAACAAATTTTGACGAAATTTCTATGAGAATAATTTGAAAGTTTATAGGTCATTAAATCTGTTTATAAACGAGTTCTGTGGTAATAAATATAAAAAGTAACAAACGAATTTAAAATCTTCTCCTTTTTTTTTCAAGCGGGTTGAAAAATAAATTAATTGCACTTAGAGAAAAATAGGAAAAAATATACTTGGGATTCCTTGTATTATTTGTTATAATTAATGCTAAGCAAATAAATAAATAACAAAAGCTTTATGAAATTAGTGATCGTGATTTTTCATGTTTCAGACTCATTGGATAATATCACATATCTATGAAACGTGCAAAAAATATTCCCTTCTTATTTTATACTTTATAGTTATAAGAAATGATAAAGCATAAAATATGTTTTTATTGTAAACTAGCTTTGTCATGATTTTGTATTCGTGAATTAGAGGAAAAAGTATGTAATGGACTAATTTAGGATACAGTTCGTTAACAATCTAGTATAATTTAACATACTTTTACAAATGTAACATTACATTTATTACCTGTGTTGCTTTATTTCATGGATGTAAATAGGTATCTTTTGTGGTTACTATGGTATAGTATTATATTATCTGTGCTATGGTGCAGGTTTAGTACGAGACTTACCACCTTGTGATCGGAGCAGTGTTCGGCGTAAATATCCCGTATGAGCGTGTCTAGTGTCCGCTGCCGCTTGAGTGCAAATGTTGGTGTTTGGAAAGCTGCTTTTTCACCGTTCATCAGCTTTACCTAAGAATATTAATTAAAATTATTATATTCACACATTGTTAGAACTAGATTTCTCTAAACACTTGAATAAAATGTTTATGATTGTAAAATTCGAGATGATGGTTAGAGATAGAAACTAATCGTCATTTACTATAAAATTGATGAATGTATAGCACTCGATTAAATCTCATTTTTTTCAGAAACTCTTTTTCATTTAATTTAATTTGCGATAAATAATGAACCATTCCTAGAAATCGAGGTAAAGCTGTCATTCAATACTGGTAGTTTTAAGTCTTAAGTGAAAATGCCATTGAATCTATTATTACAGTTAATTTTGAATTGACAAGTAATTGCTTACCAATAAAAAATCCCTAAAGAGCTGAGGGTCATTAAAAATAGGCGGGCAAGGCAGTGATGGCCCGAAGGGAGGTACAGTGTCGTCGCTGTACACGCTGAGTCTGTACCCTTCACCTTCTACTTCTGACACTACAGCAAATATATCTGATTTACGTCTAAGAAATATTATTTATGAGTATATTAGTGAATTAAAAGATAAGGTGTGGTAGATATTTTCTCACTACTGTGGATTAATCCTTACTGTTCACTAGTAGAGTACTTACTTTCGTCCCTGCTAAGTACTGCTACCTGCTGAATAGAGGTGGGCCATATATATAGATATAGCATCTGTTATTGTACTTACAATACCTATACATTGGTCTAATAAAGAATATATTAAATATTTGTTACCTAATTTATAATACTGAAATAAAAAACCTGATAGAAGTGAATATTCGACTAGTATGGATGATTTTTTCACTACGAATGTTCAGACAAACTCAATATAAAGATATTAATAATACTCATGCCTACTGATAAAACGATTTAACAGTTGTGAGGTCTTACAGTCTGTACTTCACTTGAGCCATGTCCAATGACGGTGAGTGGAATCTCTCCACTCTAAACAAAGAAATTGCTTGTGTATCAAGAAGTTGCTTGTACATTTCCTCAACTAATCATTTCATTCATTTCATTTATACCATAATAATTTATATTTTGTCGAAAAGATTATCAGTGCTCGTTCTAAAAAATATTCTATAATATAATAATTATTAGTGTATTTCATAATTTTATATTACACAACTGGAATTTTTAGATAAATTAATTAGTTAATCTTAGTCTCAACAATTCGCTCATGTCAGACTGGGCTAATACTACATTTCACTCACGACATTGTAAATTAAACTTGTTTAAATTATCTAAACTATCTAATTCAAGCTGGTTGGTATGAAATGAGTCTGTCGTAATTTTAAGAATTTTACTATATTGGATAGTCTAAAGTTCAAAATCATTAAACAAAATTTTAAGAGTTTTGGACCTTAATAATGAATATTGGAGATTTTAATTTTTATTATGCAGTATCAACTAAGATAGAATATAAAATTTCACTATCAAAACTAGATGTAAATTTATAAAATAAATAAATAAAAAAAATCTATAACTCTCATAATTACACAACCATTGTTAAGGCATTCAGTTTATAAATTAAATGTTATTATAATAAATATGTTAGGGACAATTATGTCTTAGATTATTCAGATGGATTGTCTTTATACAAATGCTTCTAGAACTTTTTCATACAATTTTGCATCATTTATCACTATTATTATTAATCATGAGTGATTCCTTTATAATTTCTATATCTATTTTGTCTTATAAATTTTGCATCTTTTTAATGTTCTAAAACTGATTTTATTTAATAAATAATTAAATATAGATACGTCAAGGTATATTGTGTGTAAGTATATAGAACACTAATAAAAAAAAAACGAGTCAGTTAATTTAATAATTAGCTGACAAAAAGTTAACTCGTTTTTCAGGCTCAATGCTCTGTCTATATTATCTAAGATTTATGCATATATTACAGTCTTGGTAATATTAATAAATTTTAAATTAATGAAAAATATTTAACATAATAAATAGAAAAAAAAAATTAATACATTATTAATTGAATGTTATAAACAGACATAGTAATTGTAGTAAGTAAGATATAAAGTAAATGCCTGAAACTTAAGAATATACCACAGATGTTATGGTATGAGTTATACATATATACGTAGTGTCAGGCAGTATCAGGCTATAAAGCACTGAAAAGTACCCAATAACTAGCACGCGATACGGTTTCTAGTTGTACTCTTTCTTAGAATGTTATATTTGATGTCAATTATTCGTAGTGGACGGGTACTAGCTATTGTTTACTTTAATACGATTTATAACATAATATTATTATTTTGTACTAGTTTTAATCCGCGGTTTTGTCCGATTGTGTTATGATAACGGAATCTTATATGTAGATAACACATAATAAAGGATAAGATACATGCATCAAATATAAATTAATTTCGTTTATCAGTTTAAGCATGATGGAATAAAAATACACACCATTATAAATTTTAATGCTTAGGGTTAAGGAAAAAAGACAAATTATGTTAAAAAATGTTGGGACACTTGATACGACACGACGAACTTATGAACATTATAATAGAAGGTAAGATAGAATGAAGAAGGGCAAGAGGGAGACTGAGACATAGTTACATCAGGCAGATCAAGGAAGGTGTTGGTGTCGTGTCGTATCAAGAGGTGAAGAGACTCGCTGAAAATCGTAGTGAGTGGCAAGAGCTCCAGCGACAAGAGCGCAGCTCTTAAATAGGATAGATAGATAAATTTTAATATTTATAATATTAATAAGATGTATCATCACCTTTCCATTAATATAATAAACATATTTAAATATTTTTTTAGAAGAAAATAAACTGAAAAAAGCTCTTATCTTTACGTTTTTCTTTAGTGATTAAATGTTATCTAATATACATAATAAATATTTCCATTCGAATATATGTATAATTTGATATTATGATAATATAGGCTCTCAGCTAAAAGATTGACTGGATAATAAATGATAAGTATAAATGGGTTATGTATGTAAATAGGTTTCTATTTGTACGATAGGGTAGGAAACACAATTACTTCACTGTTTTCGTATTCCAACATAGGATACAGTCTTGTAAACACATTTGAATAAGTAAGCGTTAGTAAACATATCAACATGTTACCACCTTCCCGTAATTTAATATTTAACCGCTATATGAGTGCTGAGTTAAGCGCTGTTGGGGTGTATGTTTTCCGTGAGGTGACAGAGTAAAAATACATAAACAAAACTAATCGAGTAACCCTGAAGTTAAATACATAAATGACACCAATATAAATAAATAAACCATTCTATTTTTAAGTAAGCAAAATTCTTAACGTTTAACTGACTTACATAAGTCATAAGTACATAAGTCATAAGTACATAAGTCAATTGTATTTTGTTATGTTTGTTACCTCATAACTCAGCCAATTCCAGACGGAATTAAAAAAATCTTTTTTTTTATCTAAAAGAATATGCTTACAGATTGTTTTCTTAAAAAAATATCAAAATCCGTTTAGTTTTTATATTAAATTAATTGGTTTTGTCACAATTAAAGTGGATTTATTGTGAGACACAATTTTTAATGGTATAAATTACTACAAAATCATAATGATTTGAAAATTATAATCTACAAACTATTGTGCTATCTTTATAACAGATTTGAATTATAATATAATTATTTTAAATTTATTTCTAGGTGGTACTAATTCCGTAGGTAGTATAGTAGTAATACATTAAGATAGATAGATAGATAGATAAGCAGGCAGTTTACGAAGTTTTTATTATTGTTATGGTGTAGATATAAAAATAGTGAATTAATTTTAATAAACATTTCATAGAAGGTAATTTTCGAAAAGCCCACAGAATTAGGTCTATATCACTGTACTTGCGTGTTAAAATTGCCTATTTACCGGCCAGTGGCCCATAAAAGGTCTAACAGTTGCCCTGCAATTGTACTTACGGCGTGTTACTAGAGTTGCCTTTTATTTAAATTACCTTATGAGATTCAATTTACAAAGTACAATAAGTATTTTTATTTTATTTATTTATTAGTACAAATACGTGTTCATGGCGGACTTAATGGTAAAAGCATTCTCTCCCAGTCAACCATAGGGAAGTGTCAGAATACTCGAATGCGGTACTACTAATAATTGATATACATACATACTAAAATTACATATATATAAACGAATAAATATATATGAATAAAAAATATACTTACACATATATGACATATACTATATTATACACGAAATTGAGAATAATATAAAGCACTTATTTTGTGATAGAATAGATAATAGTAGATAATAGGTCCAAAGTATTTAGAGCTCAATTGCAGTAAATAACTAACCTTTAGTTAAGATAAAAACCAACATTTATATTATGAACATTTTCTCAACTTACTTATAGAACTATTGTAACTAGACAATGTCTACACATGGGAGATATTTAAGAAAAATTGATATAAGTGGTTTTAATAAAATCAACAGAAGTCAAAGCAATAGTTTTTAAAAATGTTATCTGTCTGCCTGTATGTTTGTTCCAGTATCACGCAAAAATTATTGCCCCAAATTGGATGCGGTAGCAGCGAGGGTCTTCGGGTAAACCCATAAATCGAAGCACTACCTGAAAAAGTATTACCTTTCAAGTACGAAGTAGCGGGCAAAGAGCTAGTAAGTATAAATATTTAAAATGGATGTTTAATAAATAATATAGTGGAGGGAGCCTGGTGACCTTTAACATAGGATGGTTCACTCCTAAATACTTCCCCAATAGTTCTCTTAAAAAAAAGTGTTACATTATTAAGTATACAGTTATATGCTATTACACCTTTTTGCACTGAAACAAATTATATGTTTATTTTTATAATTCATAAATGTAATGAATATAAAAGGATACGGGTGAAGTGGCTCTTGACGCATTGCGGGTTGAATGTGTTGTGAACAGAGTCGTCGGTAAAGATAATGTTGACTATATCGTTGCCAATGTGTCTTTTCCTCTCGAGCTATAAAAAATAGAATATTGTTAATAAAAAAAAAAAAAAAAAAAAAAACGTAGAAACTAAGAAATATCACATATTTCTTAGTCTCTACGATATTGCTACGATATGTACTTAAAGTTACTTAAAGATAGACTTTGATAAGGGAATAGGTATTTTTTATACTTTTATTTATTATATACTCGTATGATCCCGATAAGTTCCTATTAAAAGAAGAACGGAGTGTTACGCTATAAGTATGGTTTTAGGTACTTATCTCTTTTTCTAGGCGAATAGTTCTAATGAGATAAGTGCATACACAGATCAAAGTTTATTTGATTAAAATAATTAAACCTAACACATGACATTATATAATAATTTGAAATACATGATGTTCTTGATGATTGATAATCGCTATTTTAAAGGTTAACTGAATTCCATGTTCGGCCGAACAGGATAAAAGTAAACAAACGGACCCAATACCAAATAACAGCCAATATTAATTGCAATTCAAATAACAACGCAACACATAATAATAATGCTAGAACATAATATTAATATTGAGTTATGGATTTCAAGAGTAATAATAAGTATAATTTATTTCTAACAACGAGATACCTATTTCGACGTAAATAGAGATTTTTATTGTCTAATTTCCACTAGGTTATAAAGTTGATATCACAAAGTTAGTAAGAAGATAATGCAGTAGAGGGAAGTTGGCGTGCTTTATATATGTCGTGGGTAGACAGGCAGGTAAAGTTATTCTATTGTCTAGTTAGTTGTGCTGTCTGTTGTATCTTTGTAGGTAGTTTAAAACAAATAAATAATGCGTGGAAAGGGATGGTCAGGGTGAATCCTTGTAAAGTGTTTCTAACACAAAATAGAAAATTATGTACTTATAAAAATTGGCTGTATAATTTGAAAGGAAACGCTCCTTTGGCTGTAATGGTAATTTATTAGGAGATCCATGGTTTTTATATACTGTTATTGTGTGAAGCCTACGAGTTAAAGGTGATGGATACTTATTACACACGGGAGAAAGGGATTATTAGTAATGGGATTTAACAGTCCCATTGCTAACAATATATTCTATCAGGTTGACCTTTTCCTGGTTCTCTTTGGAAACCATCGTGGTAATTTTTATGGAATTCTTCACGATATGCTAACTGATTTGCTTTTTTTCTCACCTATCAGCTTTCATTGGTACCCGTCAGTGTATAACGATAGCGGCGAGATTACCATTCCATAGTCACCTACTAAAAAAGCATATAACATTCTATCAAATATGTGGTTATATGTATATATGGTGGTGGTGGTGTAGTCTGTTATTCTAAGTTTAGAAAAAATAAATAAACATTTTATTAAAATATTATACTCAATACTTATGTATTTGTACCTATTTGAATAATCTCTATTTTAAATATCTTTCTTTATATTTACTACAAACGTTGTTATGAGTACATAATAAATTACATAGCACCTATTCCTTTGCAAAATTTAATATTTAATTTTTTTTATAAGCTTTAGAACGCAAAAAGTCCGGATTAAGATAAGGTGCTTATAATTACGAGTACGACAAAGGAGGATGCGACAATGTACCTACCCATCGACTAATAATACCCGGATATAATTATGTCGTTGGAAAGCTCTTTTCATTTGTGTCAATGGCGGCCGGTGTATAATCATTGTGAAGAAAAAGTTACACAGCTAAAAGAAAACCTGTATCATTTTACGCAAAAATGGTTTACTATAGGAAAACAGATGCAGACAGGGGGACACGGGGTGGGGGCAATTGGTGCAGCTACTTTTAGGCCCGAATTTTTCATTCTTTGAGCTACCTATTTAAATGATGATATTGTACACGATTCTTATTTTTTTTATTTGTTTTTTGTTTTCCTAAAATGTACATTATTTTTTTTTCATATAGGTATTATTTTAGCTGATCTTCTTCTTACAATTAAGTTTCGATAATTATATTTGGAATCAATAGGGTTGGCAATAATAAAGTAGGCGTTCTTTGTAGAGCAGAGTTTTAACGAGATTGATAACCCTAAGAAAAGGTATCATTATTATACACTTATTATTTTATTTTCTTATTTATGAGATCGCAATGAAAATGATAAAGAAATACATATATTGAACATGCATAATGCATGGGGCGTGGGTCAAGAGAGATATCTCGATCGTATATACTCATTAAATCGATAAATAGTTATATATTTGACCGCGATGGTACCTTTATCTTAGTTGTAATACGCTTTACCTTTCTAAAAAACTAATAGGTATATTAAAATTATTTATTGATTATTTCATGTAATTGTTTGTAACAAGAATAAATTTACTACTGTAATCTTTTGGAGGAAACAATAAAGAGTATCTGTCTATCTTTAGATAGTATTGGCGACCGGCCGATGCAAACTCTTTAGACGTTATTGTACTTTTTTATATACATTTACTTTTAGAATATTCTTATTATTTGTAATTTTATATTTTTTTGACACATTGATTTATTGTTCCTTGCTCGCTGTTCAATACATATATTTCGCTACTAAATTCCGTGTCTACATCATTTCATCACCTCATCACAGTCCACCGCTCCGTAATATTTGGTCCATTCGTAGCCATAAGTATAAAGCACCGATATTTTGCTTTTTCATTCTATTTTTTTTTTCCAAAATTTTCATTTTCATCTCACACGACTTCATCGTATATTTTTTCCTAAATCGTGTCATTCTTCATTATAATGGTGCAGACACGCAGTAAGAGCAAATCATTTGTGAATTTAGCAGCCACTGAAGTCGAATCGGGTCGCGAAAGCCCGGTAGTCATCATATACCGCCTGCCCGCCCGGCTTCAGCAACTGCGATCAAGGATGTTCCGTCATCATCGGCTAGATCGGTTACAAACTCGTGGGCACCCCACGTTCGGTAAAAGCATTATCTCGCTGTACCAAGTTTTACCTCTCTAGCCAACTTCAAAAAATCGATGCCCGGGCATCTTCCCAAAACGTGCAAAGTCGTTGCGGCCAACAATCTACTAGTGAACATTCACGATCGTCACGTTCGTCCGCCACCGTCCGTGCACAGAAGTTGGCCGTCGAAGCAGAAGTCTTACGGTGCCGAGTTGCCCGTGAGCGTGAACTCGCGCGTCTTCAGGCGAAACGCGAGCAGGAGCTCGCTCGCTTGGAATCTGAGGCGGAGGAGAGAGAGCTGCAAGCCAAACTCGCTGCACTGGATGCTAAAGATAAGTCTCGTAGCTCATGTTTTTCTAATCGCGATACTGAAATACGTACTGCGACATGGGTTTCAGAACAAAATGCAAACACGACCATGGCAACACATGTCGACATACCTGGTAAGCCACCGACTCTCACCTTGGAAAATAAAGGACTCAGTCTACAGTTACCATCTCATGAACCATATGTCAACCATGCAAACCATTCGAAATCCACACATGTCATTATGTATACAGTGGCACTGCAACGCTTACAACCTGATCGTCCATCGGCAGATCCTATAGTACAAAGTCACTCAAGCTATTACTAGTTTATCTAACTGCCCAAAGAAACCAGAACTCGTCATTTTCTCGGGCGAAATTAGTAATGGATGGCCTTTAAAAATATTATGAAAGAACTAAATCTAGTTTTTCCGCAGCAGAAAACCTCACACGGCTGAATAATGCGGTTCGCGGACCGGCATACCAGGCTGTGGCGTCACTCCTGTGGACTTTGTGACCCACAAGACGTCATGAACGCATTGGAGCAAACGTACGCCCGACCAGAACTCCTCGTTGCTCGCGAGGTCGCCGAGTTACGCAATAGCCCTAAGTTAAGTTCCCCTGAACAATTAAATACATTAGCAAATAAATTACGTAACTTTGTAGTTACTTTAAAATATTAAAACAAAATGATTATCTATATTCACCAAGCTATTTCGCACTATTCTACTCAAATTAAGCGAATACACGAGAGCTCGTTTTACAGACTTTGCCTCAACCTATATATGTCCAAAACGTGGCAAAATTAGACTTGCTATCGCAGTTTTTGCTAGTGGAAGCCGATAAGCAACTACGGTACAATTTCGTACAGGACATACCATTTAGCCACAAAATTCAACGTACCCTTCTAAGTACAATAATTAAAAAAGGAGACAGTACACGTAATGACCCCTAGCAATAAAGTACCAGAGTGTACATACTGCAAACAAGGTTGTCACAGTATAAAATCCTGTAAAATATTTTTATCTCTCACAGTAAATGATAGATGGCGTTGGGTTCGAGACGCGAAGGTATGCTACCGCTGTCTTAAATCAAATCCACATAAATGGACTAATTGTCGTAGTAAACGTTGTGGTGTTGACATGTACAAGACGCCATAATTCGCTTCTTCACGGTACCACGCCTAATGAGTCTGGAACTAACTTAGCGACCAACACCCAACGCACCCAAATACTGACTGATAATTCAGATGGCCCAAGCAACATAGCTGATAAGACATATAAAAATGAACCGATTAAAATTACAAATACGTCTGACATTTTAATCAATGCAGCAATTCTTCACGTGGATCCTGAAAGTACTACCGGTTATCCTCGAGGGCCCCGACGGCGAATATGAAACCACGGCGCTACTCGATGAAGGTAGTACGGCTACACTAATTGACGACAAGGTAGCGATGCGTATCGGCGCCAAGCCCACCCGTCAAGAGCGTCTTCGTATTGAAGGTGTTAGCGGCATGTCAAAAGATGTAGATGTTGGTTACGTGAACTTCTAATACGTGGGCGTAACTTTTTAGTGGAGCATGCACGCGCAATTAGCCCATTAAGTCTGCGCGTCCGGAAAAAAACATCATCAACTTTATGAAGTACCAGCACTTATCAGACCTATCTAATGAACTTTCCTACATGATACCAACCCAACTGTTCTTATTGGAGCGCCCGACTGGTACCTATCTGTAAGCCGCGAGGTAAGATGCGGAAAGAAGAATGAACCTGTTTCCTCTAAAACAATATTGGGCTTGGTGCTCCACG